TTTAATTTTAATTTACAAATGTGCCAAAAGTGTTCCGTAAAACTAGGAAATATTTATTGTTGATTAAGAACGGGGACATGTTTGTTGCTTATCTTTGTATTGCCATTCCTTTAATATATTTCAGTTTTCCCCAATTCTCACCCTATTTCTATAAGTTTTAAGCCTGTGGGTTTTTTCTTGTTTCAGGTCCCAACCCAAGAGCAAGTTGATGCTCTATCAAAGGAATTGCTTGCGCGTTCAACTGTCCCAGGTATTTTGAGCACGCTGCTGGATACTTGTATTATTGTTTTGACCAATTAAATCTACAAATCATCTGAATGAGTTGATGCTAATGTCTCCCTATTCTAAAATTCAAAGGTGGCATACATTAGCAGAGAGGTCTATATGTTTCTGTTAGTACGATTGTGTTAAGTTTATATGCTCTATCTTGCCACTTTGCTCTCTAGTAGCTTATAATTAATATGGTTGCAGCTCATGTCTATAAGGCAATAGATGCTCTCCCAGTAACTGCACATCCTATGACACAGTTTACCACGGGAGTAATGGCTCTTCAGGTGAGTCCTTCCACTTCTGGCATGCTGTCTTTTCTAAGTATAATATCATAATTGTGAAATTAAATCACATTCCCTTGCAATTTATTTGCATTTTTTAGAACTGGATGCAAGTGGTATTTAAATCAATTTCCCATTGTGTCTTGGGATACTGTTTGTAAATTCTAAAGCCTCGACTTAGTTTTCCATTTTTAAACCCCATTTCAGGTTGAGAGCGAATTTCAAAAAGCTTACGACAATGGATTGCCAAAATCAAAGTAAACTTGGGATTTATACTGCCACCCATTTTCTTATGTGTTCAGTGGTTGCTTTCCATGGTGTTCACAATTATTGTTTGTATAGGTTTTGGGAGCCTACTTATGAAGACTGCTTAAATTTGATTGCTCGGCTTCCACCAGTGGCTTCTTATGTTTACCGCAGGTAGCTTTTGTTCAGAAATGCTTCAATTTTTAATACACTTACTGGAGGTGACATAAGTCAAATTTTGCTTCAATTTTTAATACACTTACTGGAGGTGACATAAGTCAAATTTTGTGAAGTTAAAGTTGTTGTACAAATTTTATAATTAGTGAATAATATTGTTTCATTTGTTCTTTGAAGAATTTTCAAGGGTGGGAAATCAATAGAAGCTGATAATTCTCTGGATTATGCGGCAAATTTCTCACACATGCTTGGTTTTGACGACCCCAAAATGCTGGAGCTGATGCGGCTCTATGTAACAATTCACACGTAATTTTGCATCCATCCTTGTTTCTATTTTTGTTATGTTTCGGAAGTACTTGTTTTCATACTATGACTTGTGTTCTTCTAGTGATCATGAAGGCGGGAATGTCAGTGCTCATACTGGTCATCTGGTAATATTTGTTCTTTTGTTGTGATCTTGATTTTTTTTCATTAGTGTTTTTCTTAACGTGCCAAGATAATGACAGCTATCAGTGTGATACCTTATCTTGTACTATCATGGCACTCTGCTTTTGGTTTGGTGCAATGCGATTATTAAGCATCTGACAATACTTTAGTATGTACTGTTAAAACGAACTGAATTTATCTGGAAATACCTCTTTAAACAGTGCATGATAGCACTTATTAGGAACTGGAACCTGGAACGGGATAAGAGGGTTAGTTTTTTAGCTGGTACTGTGCGAATTTAATCATGATTCGTCAGGATTCAATTGTATTCCTTGCTCCATGTTTGTTGTATTCCATAGTAGCGAGTATAAAATTTTGGTTCTAACAGTAGTTGGATCTGTTGTTACACTAATTTCCCCCTGTGTGGGCTATTGTAGATCAGGAGAGCTCCATGTGATAGAGGATCATAGGTTTGAGTAGAGCTGTTCTAACAGTAGCTGTACTCATTTTAATCCTACTGCCCCCCCCCCTTTCTCTAGCCTATGCTTTAGCTTTATCTTCTGTCTCATGGTGCTCATTCACATGTAGGTTGGGAGTGCTCTGTCAGATCCTTATCTTTCTTTCGCAGCTGCTCTGAATGGGTTAGCTGGGCCACTGCATGGCCTTGCAAATCAGGTATGCTCAGTTTGACACACTGGATCCGATCTGGTACTTAATCTCCGCCTTGTGCTTTGTTTTACTTGTGGATTTTGAAAAAAAAAGGTTTCCATGAAAAAATTCCCACCCCCTGGCCCCACTTGCACCCATTTTACTCCTTTCGCCCCAAAAGAATACACGTCTCGTCTTTTGAGGAGTCAAACTTTTTAAGTTTGACCAAACATATATAAAAAAGGTAATAGCATTTGCGATGTGTAATAAGTATCATTAGATCAATCATAGAATATATTTTCATAAGAAACTTATTTGGAGAAGCAAGATGTGCATTGTTTTTGGGATGGAGGGAGTACTATTTTTACTAGGTCACCCACTTGATATGTAATGCACCTCATCTCTGAAAGAAGAATTACATTTCCTGCCACTCGTATTTTTATTTACTTGCTGTTGTTGTGTGTATGAACTTACCATATATTGCAGGAAGTGCTTCTATGGATCAAATCTGTAATTGAGGAAACTGGGAGTGATGTTACAACAGATCAACTCAAAGACTATGTCTGGAAGACACTCAAGGGTGGAAAGGTATATCAGTTCACTGAGGTCTAGTGTTTGTGATCATGCTTGAGCACAGTTCTGTTTCCCATAGGAAAGCTATATCAATTCACTGAGATTTGAATGATGTGCAGTAGGTCTGATAGAGTTGACTGTTTATGAAAGTGCTATCTCTCTGATGATCTGTGTGCACTGTTGCTTACATTCAATATAGGTTGTTCCTGGGTTTGGTCATGGAGTTCTGCGTAAGACGGACCCACGATATTCATGTCAAAGGGAGTTTGCCCTGAAGCATTTGCCCGAGGATCCACTTTTCCAATTGGTCCGTCTAGAACCTTTTATCTAATTGCATTTACTTTCTTGAGTTGAATGATTCTAAGTGTAATGTTCGGTTACAGGTGTCCAAGTTGTATGAAGTCGTACCTCCGATCCTCACTGAGCTGGGCAAGGTAATGTAGTATCAGATTTATCCCATTCCTTTGGTTTCAGCCTACTGGTTATGAACACCATTCTTTGCCCATGTATTCTCAGGTCAAGAACCCCTGGCCGAATGTTGATGCTCACAGTGGAGTTTTGCTGAACCACTTTGGACTATCTGAAGCACGGTATGTTTATGCTTGTCATTTATAGGGTGTTTGGTTTGAGGAGGCACTCAATCCTAGATGAGGTGGTGCATCATGAGTTCATTCCTCAAATTTGGTGGAATGACTCCATTCCTCATACTAACTAATTATTAGCTTGTGAGGAATGAGGTTTTGATGCATCAACCTATTGCATTCCACAAACCAAACAAAAAAAGTGAGAATGAGTAGATGATGGAACACCTCATTCCTAAAACCAAACTCACCCTAGATACCAATTTAGTCCTTTTCTTACTTAGCCAACCTAGTTCTTGAATGAGCACTCATGTCTGGAACACTAACTGTGCAGGTATTACACTGTCTTGTTTGGTGTTTCGAGAAGCATGGGCATAGGATCTCAGGTCTACCTTCTACCTTCTCTTCATATGTTTTCTTCTAGTAATTCCGCCGCCTAATTTTCTTTGATTATCTATGATGCAGCTCATCTGGGACCGTGCCCTTGGCCTGCCACTTGAGAGGCCGAAGAGTGTTACCATGGAGTGGCTGGAGAACTACTGCAAGAACAAGGCTGCTTGAAGCTTTTCACAAATGCTGCCTTTTCCCAACCTTATACGCTGTTAATAATTAAACATGAGCTATAGAAGTAGTCATTTCCCCTTTGGCCGTTGAATAACGCAAGAGCAAGATGCTCTCAGGCGGTAGAATTTTGTATCTTCCGTCACTTGGTGGACATCCAGATAGTCGATCTGCGGCAACACTGGGCAGAAGAGGTTAGGAAATGCTGATTAATCTTCATCACCCTATTCGCTTGATCTATTCTGTGGCTTATAAGTGTTTTGTTGTGAGAGAAAAACATTGTATCATGACTGATAAGCATGGCTGATACGATCAAGTGAACAGGGTCTAGTTACACAAATTTGCCGACACTTGAGTTTTTTTTGAACGTTATATGTTTGGCAGAGTGAATGACTAGTTACACAAATTTGGTTCTGGCATGTATGTCGGTTATTTCGTGTTGTGCTACTCGGTTTGTTTTAAGTTGACCCGCGACATGATTCTGTTTGCTTGCTCGTATCTGGCTTATAAGCTATGGTTTATCAGCCAACGAACAGTATTTTTCTCTCACATTAAATCAGTAACATCACTTATAAGCTAAACCGGTCTAAACGAATGGGACGATGGCTGAAGTGCTTGCTGTTCGTTGGGCCAGACCCACCTCCACATCCAGGCCGGAAGCAACGAAAACGTGTCCAAAGTTACACGCGCGGCGCGACTTGCAAGGAATTCCACCAAGCCGGGTCGCCGGTCGACCGACGAGCCATGACGCTGCGTGTGTACTGGAGGCCGACGACCACCTGCACATATCGTGCACATATCTCTCGCCTAAAACAAAAGGATCCGATTTTATCTCTCGCCTAAAACAAAAGGACCTCCTGCACATAATGATTTTATCTCTCGCCTAAGTAAAATGATCTGGGTGATCTGGGTGTTTTCATACATACGCTCCCCCCGTGCGTCAGAGGAAGAAAGCAGGAGCAATGACGACACGATATGAGATTGTCTCTTTCCCAACAAGCAGACAAACTGTCAAGACATTAATTTATTTACACAGCTGTACCGCAGCAGGAGCTTATGTGTACCGCAGCAAGAGCTGGGCATGTTCAGTAGTTTGTGATTGTGAATGAGGAAGTGTACCAAGATTTCAAGAGAGTGAATCAGAAGTTGTTTTTTCCAGCTCCCAGGATACCCTACTCCCTACAAATTGCCGTTTGGTAAAGCTGTCCCTGAAATCACTAGCTCTATCAAACAGGCCTTAAAGCTCCCTGCCTCCCTTCACTCTTGAACTCTGGAAAGCAACACCAAATTAGATCATCCAAACAACATGCAACTCACACATCTGATCACTAAGCAAACCTGCTGTGAACATATCAAACCAAAACCAAAAGATCAAAGTAGCATGATCATAGAAAACAAGTTAGATTGAAAGAGCAAACGTGAAGCAGTTCATCTTTATCCTATCCCAAACGATCATAGTTACTTTCGCCTACAGCAGAAACAGGAGGTAATAGTTCTGTACCATCTCAGTACAACAGAAACACGTCCTTTCGTTTGCTTGCCCAGATATCCATAGCTAATAGTTCTGTACCATCTCCACAATAACCTAAGATTCATCAGCAAGAAAGAAGTACCACATGTCTATTCTGGCATTCTGCTCAGCAGCCTCTCAGAAATGATGTTTGTGGCCTGACCATAGGATCAAAGATCAGCCACTGATGTTGCCGAGCCAGAACAGCATAGAGAATTGTACAACCGCCAAGAAGAGCAGGAAGTAGTGGTTCCTGAGAGAGAATAGGTCTCATGAAATTGTGATAGATTGATATAGGTACAGAGAGTACATTATATAGGCAAGGATCAGGAAGGATTTATAGAAACACCCAATCAATGGTGATCCTTGCCTAATCAATAATCATCTACCATAATCCCTAGAGGTAGCCCAGCCAATAGGCTTGGACGCCAGGCCCATGCCCAGCCCATAGGCGCCTATTCTAACACGCCCCTGCAGTCGAATCGTCAGCCACTCTGCACGTTTCGACTGGACCTGAACTCCGTGAACACTGAAGAAGGCAGCCCTTTGGTGAAGATATCCGCATATTGTGAAGAAGTGGGAACATGCAGAACATGAAGATCACCAATGGCGACTCGCTCCTGGACGAAGTGAAAATCAATCTCAATGTGCTTGGTTCGCTGATGTTGTATCGGGTTGGAGGTCATGTAGACGGCACTGATGTTGTCGCAATACACCAGTGTGGCGCGCCGGAGAGGGGCATGCAGCTCTAGAAGAAGCTGACGCAACCAGGTGGCCTCAGCAACTCCATTGGCCACTGCGCGATACTCTGCTTCAGCACTGGATCTTGACACCGTGTTCTGGCGCTTGGAGGACCAGGAGACAAGATTGTCACCAAGAAACACTGCATAGCCCGAGGTGGACTTGCGGGTGTCTGGACAACCAGTCCAATCAGCGTCGGTGTAGACGACAAGATCAGCCGAAGTAGACGGTCGCAGCAGGAGACCAAAGTGGAGAGTGCCTCGAACATAGCGCAGAATCCGCTTCAGAGCTGCAAGGTGAGGCTCACGAGGGTCGTGCATATGAAGACAGACTTGCTGCACAGCATATGCAATATCCGGTCGGGTGAACGTTAGGTACTGTAAGGCTCCAGCGAGGCTGCGAAAGTCTGAAGGGTCAGAGACAGGGGTGCCATCTGCTGCAGCAATCTTCGGATTTGTGTCAACTGGAGTGGAACACGGCTTACACTCTGCCATCCCGGTGCGATCAAGAATGTCCAGCATATATTGTCGCTGAGAAAGAAGAAGGCCATCACCACTGCGCTGAACATGCATACCGAGGAAGTAATGCAGTTCACCAAGGTCCTTCATAGCGAACTCCCGCTGAAGGGCTGAGATGATCTGCCGAAGAAGGCCGGTCGAGGAGGTTGTGAGGACAATGTCATCAACATAGAGCAACAGGTAAGCTGTGTCTGATCCGCGCTGGTAAACGAAGACTGAGGTGTCTGACTTGGCTTCAGCAAACCCAAGGGACAACAAGTGTGTGGCCATGCGAGGGCGACCCTTCTGCTTAACATACTACCCACCAAGACTCTACAGTTCTCCACGCCCCACCTTGCCCTGTATGGCATGCCGCAGACGTATGATCACCTATGAGTCTTTGGCTGCAAGTGTTATCCAAACCTGTCCGCCACCGCTCCTCATAAACACTCTGATACCATGATAGCGAATAGGTCTCAAAAGATTGTGATAGATTGATATAGGTACAGAGAGTACATTATATAGACAAGGATCAGGAAGGGTTTATAGAAACACCCAATCAACGGTGATCCTTGCCTAATCAATAATCATCTACCATAATCCCTAGAGGCAGCCTAGCCAATAGGCTTGGGCGCCAGGCCCATGGCCAGCCCATAGGCGCCTATTCTAACAGTTCCGGCTGGGGTGTCTCTCGTAGCTCCTTGGCCCGCCCAGAAGTACCCTCTTCATGGTCTTCACAAGGAAAACTCCTGTGCAGATGCAGAACCATGGCATGATGAAGTAATACAGATAGCTCCAGAAGATACGGGCCAGCATTGCAAGGGAAGTGCCGGCGAAACCATATCCAGCATATGCCATGATGTCCAGCAATGGAGCTTCACCGCTGCCCAGGGAGTACAGCAGACCTTTGATGAGGATGACTTGCAGAAACCAGCCAAGTATCCCTTTAGAGAACTGTAGGGTCAGTGCCTCAGGGGTAAACCTGCATCACAAAGCAATGCGCCTCAAGGTGAATCACCGATCCTGTAAGACACAGTGGCTCATAAATTTATTTGCCTTGTGTGCTGCTAATACAATGTTCTTCTCTAATTCCAGATGAAACAAAAGAAGTCAATCACAGAGTATTTACCTTCCAAGAACACCCAAGGCATACCCAGCAACTACAATGTAGGTGCCAAAAGCCATCAAAGGGATGTACAAGTCTGGTGCATTGATATCCTGGACTGGAGGTTTGTAGGACAGCCTTCCTCCTACTGGTTCAGTTATTCATGTCCAGTGACCCTTAAGGAAGACAATAAAGGTCAGACATATGTTATGAGACTTCACAAGATCACAATATGAAAAATCCTGCAGAGATAAATTAAAGGTCGCCAGCCCTTTACCCTGTGCAAGAAAGGGAACAAGATAACCTTCAGTTTGTTCCTCACATACTGGTTGTTGACTTGAAAGTAGTACTGAGGGTCGGACAAATATTGTGTTATCTGACAAAAAAGAGTGAGGTTTAGCCTTTCTAGCTCCAAGATAGATACACTGATCTCTAAACATGAAACCTGTGTACAAATTTACATTGCTCTGCATAAACTCAGAACTTGAATCTAAAAACCTCCCCCCATATGCTTCTAGCCCAGTACGAATGAGTCCTGGTCCAGCACCATGCAAGGCAGTTCCAAAACGATTTGCTTGTGGATTTGTCGGCCTGCCACCTAAGCCTCCCATATCAGTATTCATCGCTGCCATGGTAAGTGAATAAAATAGGAGTCAGACAACAAGTCATTCAAGGATACAGGCACAAGAAATGGTTGCTTGGATTTCAAGATTAGAAACCAGTTCTTAGAGAACATTTTCTATTAGGAAATTTAGAAAAACAAGTCTTAAAGTAGCTATTATGTTATTGTTGGTTTATTCATTTATGTTTTTTTTATTGCAAGTGCTCAACATGCTTTATTTATGTTAGATGAATGACACACTGTTAGTGACCATGCAAACTATCCTTGTCATCAAAGCTGAGTTAGTCATGTGAATGATTGAATGAACCCACATAAACGGACACAGCAGATTTTGCTAAAACGTGGAATTTTGAGTTTACTAGAAAGCAGGTTTTCTTATCTTCATGTTAAACAAAAATGGTTTTCTAAATAATAAACTAACACTGACTTTTAAGAAATCTAGTTTTCATAAAACTTGAGATTGAAACAAGGCCTAAAGTATGTTCCAAATCATTACATCTCATATTGAATCGTGTAACCTATGTCTACAGTAACACAACCATAATGTGGTAGAAGTACTACTGAAATAGCACTAGTTGTGATTCTGTGCCAATCATACTTCTGTTGGACAAAAAGGATAATTTGGACCCACATCATCAAACTACAAGAGTCTGGATTTGCGATTGTGTAATCTGGAACTGTCAACATGAATAACAAATTAAGGATACTTGCAATGCAATTGTAGACATTATTAGAACATTATGAAAATTGCTGAGGCACCCATGGCAATTAGAGATGCAATTAAAGCAATGGCACTATAGAATCTAATCATATTCAAGAAATTGCAAACTGTTGTTGTAACCAGTAGCCAGTAGGCTACTTCGCAACCTTTTGGGAACAATACGCAACTGAAGATTCAATGACTAAAGAACCAAAACTAGAACCCTGAATTGTATTCATTAACATTTTCCACGTATACCTTAAACCTTTAGTGACCTAAAGAGATTGCATCATGTAAATATACCGCACATTAAATGAGATAGTGGCACTAAGCAGATTATATCTATATCTCTCCCATAATCCTGTACATCAAATAGGAAAACCCTTCTATGCTCCAGATAAAGAAAGACAACAGATGTACTAGCCATGGCCGTTGGTTATTTATAGCCACACATCACAGTCTTCCTAGTCGCTGTCCTTGGACCCTTTTCCCAGTCACTCTATGCAATCCAAGCTTTTTGGCATTGCCACAGCATCCCAGCCCATGCCATGCAATATTCGAGGGTTCATTGGTGATCCCACACCCACAGGGAATCACACCATGATGATCCCCGAATCACACCATGATGAACTCCGAATTCAGTCGAAACCCAATTCGACCAACAAACTGAAATGCACCATCCGCGTGTTGCGCCCCAACTCCAACGGCGTCAACTGACAACGACCCCGCGTCACTGGCAAAGGAGAGCCGAATCTAACCGTCTCAGAACCGGGAGTCGATGGATCAGATCAGTGCGACATGTATATGCTTGTAATTAGGTCAGATCCGAATACAAATAGCTCACATTAGGGTCTCTGGGATGCTCTGTTTTGCACCGTAAACAGCAGGAAGCAGAGAGAAGGGGGCGGCGTACCAGGTCGGTGTGCTCGTCGCCCGGCGAAGGATCCGTCGCCGCTCGTCTAGCAGAGGCAGAGAGGGGTGAATACTGAATACTGAAACGCTTGGAACGCACAACGATGCCTTAGCACTCGTCACTAGTCACTCGTCATTAGCAGGGCAAGGAACGTATAACAGCAAAAATCAATACGTGGGCCGACACGTATTTGCTTATTCTGCAGACACGGCCTGGCCCAGCCCACAGGGCAGCCTCCAGCCTCCATCCCGTTCAACAGGGGACTCTCGTCCCTGCCTCCCTGGACGCTCAGAGCGCACACGCATTCGGCGGCCGCCCGCACGAGCGCCGCCGCCGGCAAAGAGGAGTGAGGAGTGGCAACGGCAGACTCAGCTCGCATAAGCCCCGCTCCTCCGCGACGAGGCGCTGCTGACAAGGACGAGCGCGGACGCACGATACGCAGCACACACGAGCGGCGCGCCGTCTCCAACCACCTGCCCGCCCGCCCGCCCGCCAACGCAAGGGCAATCTCCGGTGAGTTTGCCGTTCTCCTCTGGGTAGTTTTCTTTCTTCCTATTTTAATCCAGCTTGTAGTGAATTTGTTTTCATCATTTCTTTTTCCCGATTCTGGACCGTCTACTTGTTCTTCATTTCTTTTTTTCTCTCTCTTTGATTTCCTGCTCCCCAAGAGGCTGCTATTGTGGAGGAGAACAAGGCAGTGGGGATGGAGTAGCTTGAACTGAAACATGCAGTCCTGCACTGCTCTAGTGCCATTTATAATTTTAATAAATTTGAGACTACGTGTGTTATGTAATAGTACAACTTAAGTAGACTGCTATCTGCACTATTATTTATTTATTAAACAAATACTAAGACGTATCTGCTTATTGGGTTTTTTTGGGGGAAAACAATGCCATATGTATCTGTATTGTCCCAATATCCATATCCGCATCTGGATCCGTATCCATATCTGTGCTGCTCAGGCACAAACATTCACTGACTATTGTCTCCTTGCATTGGGAACATGGCATAACAGCGGTACAAGGGTGAACAAAGAAGCATCAAAAGGACGACAATATGCCAAAGAAGGGGACTAAATCTAAGAAGAAGGTGGACGATGTGCCCAGTCAACAAGAAAATAAGCTTCCAGACTACCTGGAACTCCAGCGCACACGTGTTGTCTGCAACGCTGATGCCCCCATTCATGTACGCACATTTATACGCTACTCTTCTTTCATGTCTCTGCATTTGTTGCTCATGATCATCTGCATGACTAGCTTTGCACATGTTTCCTGGTGAAATTGTCTGTTTGATATATTCAGTGATTTTCGCATGAATTTAGTGTGCTTATAAGTTTATCTTGCATAGGAACTTAATTTCACATAGATGCATAGATGTTTTGAGATTATGCGTTTAATTGACTACTTCACTGAACACGGAAATTTAATTTGTTTTTCACCATTAAAGTTTGTGTGCTGTTTTTCTTCTGATAAATGATTGAACATGTTACTTGTTACTTGAACTTTTTTTTTCTCTCAATCTTGTTAAGTGCACTGTTGAATTTGCTGCTATGCACACAAATTCTCTGTGAAAATAATCATTTTTGTTCTTACCGATTTTATAAGTTTGTTTTTTTTTGTCTTGTTGAAATTTGTTCCTTGAGTACATGTTGGAAATTGTTTGTATTTGTTTTGCTTTATTATTTTTGTGAAAGAATTTCCTCTTTATTGATATTGAACTTCATTCAATTCTATTATTGGGCTCATATATTACATTTATGTTTCTCTTGTATGTCTAAAAGACTCAAGGTTTCCAATCCTCGGGTGCATTTGCTGCTATAGGAGTTGATAATAGCGTATCAGTGGAGAAGTTTTGCAAGAACTTCAAAATTGAAATAAATCATCTCACTGAAGATGATATGGACTTTGATATGATTGGTATTGATGCATCAATAGCTAATGCTTTCCGAAGAATCCTCATCGCAGAGGTATTTGCATGTTTTCATGCGTACGATAAGATAACCTAGAACTGTCTTCTTTATTTTAGCACTTCATATGTATTGGAGTTCTGGATCAATAAGTGCTTAATTTTATACTTCCTCTGAACTAGTAGGTTCCTACTATGGCAATTGAGAAAATATTCATGGTTGACAACACCTCAGTTATAGCAGATGAGGTTCTTTCACATAGACTAGGACTTATTCCACTTCATGCAGATCCAAGGCTTTTTGATTATATCTCAGGTAAGTAACTTCAATTGCTCTAGCTTCACCTTGATACATTTAACACAAGAGCCATCTTATTGTTCCTTTCTCTTTTCACAGAAAATGATGTCCCAAATGATAGAAATACTATTGTTTATAAACTGCATGTTTCATGTCCAAAGGGTTCTCAACGAATTACAGGTATGCTTATCTTCCTGCAATGTCTGCTGAGTACAGATTCCTGTCATCTTTCAAAATGAAATTCCATGCCCCATGTTGTCTTATTGGAAGAATATCTCATTGTTCGAATTGGAGAGCGCAGTTAAGCTCGTCTGTACTTATGTGACATCTAATAAACTATTTACTAAGTGTACTGTAGTGACAAGTTAGAATTTCCATTTGTACTTTTGTAGTATCCTTGTTAATGAGTTTTACTTACCTCATGTTGGCATCTTATGCACTTTGTCATCAAAAAGTTATTGCTGAAAGTAAAAAAAAAAATATCTGTGGTAGTTGAAATATGATCCTTTGCCTCCTTATATTTCTCTTTTCTTGTCAGCATGAACCAGATTTCCTGAGAAGGATGGTTGGGATTTTCTAGTAGTGTAACTTTGTAATTGTTGACTGCTTGGTTGTCTGTGACAGTGAAATCTAGTGAACTAGAGTGGTTACCAGAAGGTAGCCAATTAAGCATGGCAGCCCCTGCGCAGTCTGGGGACAAACAGAAGACTTTCACTTCCTTCAGTCAAAGCCAAAAGGAGATCTTAGAAAAGCCTCTTGGTGTGAAGTTTAAAGATATTACTATTGCCAGGCTTGGGCCAGGACAGGTAGCTGCGTGACTTGTTTTCTTGGCTCTGTTATGATATGACTAGGTGTACCTACATCTTTTGCACTTTTTGACTAAGATACTTTGTTGTGTGAATGAGTCCACATGGTAAAAATGGAGGAGTCCACTGGAAACACAGAGTTTTAATGTATGCAGCCAATAGCTTTTTCACGAACAGCTTTTCCTTATATCATAGAAATAAACTATGTTGGTGATTTGAATTCATTGTGTGACTTTGTGTGCATGCCAGATTTAAAATTTGTAAAGATAATTTGTCCATTGTACCAGTTCTTTTTTCTCTAACGAATCATTTCCATTGGGGTAATTGTACTTTGTAATTTAATTTGTTCTTTTATAGGCTATTGAGCTCGAGGCGCATGCTGTTAAGGGAGTTGGGAAAGTTCATGCCAAGTGGTCTCCAGTTGCTACAGCCTGGTACAGAATGCTCCCTGAGGTAAAATTGTTTCACTAGCGCAGTTACAACAAGATGGTAAATAACTGTATCCATTACTTGTGTCCTGATTGTATATTGCTATATTATCATGTAGGTTGTTATTCTCGAAGAAATTGAAGGTGATGATGCAGAGGAGCTAGTAAAGAAGTGCCCAGTTAATGTTTTTGACATTGAAGACCTGGGTAATGGTAATTTCTCTTTCCCTTTCTTTTTTAAGAGGCTGAACTTGAGGTAGCAAGGGAGTCAGAGACTCGGTACTTAGCTGTGGTGGCAGTCGGCAAGGTGTTATATATTGAATGTTGGAGCAAGTTGATTGTTTTAAGCATTTGAATTTCTTAACTGGTATCAACCACTGTTTTAGTCGAAGTTTCTGATGGGTATTAATTGGAAGTTTGAACAACAGAACCAAGGAGGATTAGAAGAAATGTATGATCCCAGGTTTTTTAGTTCTCATCTGGAAACTGTATTAGAACATGGTTGATGCTAAGGGCTAGGGATCAAAAGCAACTTACGTAACACTGACCTGGATGTCCATTGCACTTGCACAAACTATTGGGGTTTTCGTCTTCTATAAATCAGACTCCAAGCTTTTTTATGATTGATCTGCCATTCACATTAACCCTTCCAAGTGGTATACACAGGTGGAAAGAGGGCAGTCGTTGCAAAACCAAGGGCATGCACACTCTGTAGAGAATGTGTCATGGGACCAAATGGGAATCAAGTTGAACTACGGCGTGTTAGAGACCACTTCATATGTAAGTAGTCAAGAACTCGGTTATCTTTCCTTAAGTAAAATTTCTTCATTATTGTGCCATCATAGTTGGACAACCGTATCACAGAACAGAAGGTTTTCCAATACGATAGCTGTACTTGCACTGCAACATTCTAATTCTCCATGTTGGCTATTGTGTTTCCCTTGCTAGTCACCATCGAGTCCACCGGTGCTATGCCGCCAGAGGTGCTGTTCACAGAAGCCGTGAAGATTTTGGAAGAGAAGTGCGAGAGGGTCATATCTGAGCTATCCTGAGAGGATGACGCTGTGCAGCAATGGAGTAAACCAGCTTAATTAGTCTGCCATGTCTGGTATTTTGCTGGCGACTAGTATGTCATCAAACATTTTTGTGGTGGATGTTTAGGTCAAGAAATGGGAGATGAACTTAATACTGTTGTGCTATAGAATGTCCTGTAACACAGTGAATATTAGATTAAACTGTGGCAGGTTGAATCAACTGGCAACACAGACTGGAAATTATGGATTGAAATACGCGGTTGTGCCGCAGGCAGATATCAACGTGTTAGCGCACAAGCAGTCAAGCATCGTGTTTTGGCGTCGAGACGATAGGTAACCAGGCCAGGTTAAGGCCCTCTTTGGTTCTAAGCTTCCACCTCCTAAAATTTACTTAGGCCCTGTTTGGTTGAGTGGACTAAGGCCCTGTTTGCTTGGCTGAAACTGACTGGTTTTGTGAGAGAGAAATACTGTAGCGGCTGGTTGATGAATAGTGTTTACTGAGGGAGATCAGCCGGCTGGTCTGGATGGACCAGACCAGCGAACACGCCCTAAATGGAACTAAACTTGACATGTGCATGTTTAGAATGATCAAAACAACACTAATTAATGCTAAGGCCCTATTCGCTTCGCTGAAAAGCTATGCCTAAAAGTACTGTTCGCTGATTTGTTGTGAGAGAAAAATCACTGTTTGTTCGCTGAAATAGTACGGCTCATAAGACAAGCAAACATGGCCTAAGCCGCTGCCCCTGGCATTTGGCGCGCACGCTGCCGTGCTGCTGGCTCCCGCGCGCCCCCTGCTCTGCTAGCTGCTAGCCGCAATGTCCATTCTCACTCACAAATAAATGTTCAAATAGTTTAGAAAAATCTTCGTTATTACAAACCATGGCACCTATGACATTCTAAACAAACCATTGGCTATCAATCATAAAATTGATTCATGTTTTTATCTTTCTCTCCATAACGTGTATTGCCTCCTGTTGCTCGAGAAAAAGTTCCTTCCTCATCTGGGTTATAGTTTTCATCTTGATCACACGAGTCAAAGAGATCATCCATCATACCACCCTGTCTAATGAAATTGTGTAGTGCCATGCATGCCATGATTATTTTGCTTTGCTTTGCCACGGAAAAGCTAGGTAAATCCAACAAAATTCTCCACTTTATCTTTAAAACTCCAAAAGATCTCTTTATGACATTTCTAAGTGAAGAATGTAACAACCAAAAAATCCACACACAAAAAATCACAACTACAAAATTTTTGTTGTTACCCCATGCAATGTTGAGTGACATCTGTAGGAGCCAACCCTAGGTGTTGCATTAGTTGTAAACCAACTAAACAATTTCATAAGCATAACATGTCATTTGTTAATTATATTTATTTAAATACTGACAAATAAAATGTAGCATACATTGTTAATTCAAATAGGTGATTTGGATTTTCATTTGCTTTATGTAATGCCTAACAACTCCTTTAAAGAAATAAACCATAAAGTAATTATTAATCAAACCAAAGAATTGATGCTTAAAGAGAAAACTATTTCTATTTTTGTATAACAAAACTACACCTATTTTTGTTATACAAAATAGCTAAATAAAGTTTCTAATATATATAAAAGAATGTTGTGGGCCTCATACCTAAAACTCCAACGAATAAGGTACACCAACTTTGAATTCAAATTCCAAAATCAAATTGGAATTTAAACAAAGGAGAAGAAAAATAAAACCAGAAAAAGGAAAGAAAGGGAGAAGACCCGCAGTTGGCTTGGCTTGCTCGGCCCGCTAAGCCTTGCCAGATGTAGCCAAGCCCCAACCTGCCAGCCCACTCTGTGTGTGCAGGCAAGACCTCCTGCCTCAAGCAGCCCTTCGCTTGTGAAGCAGCCGGCCCAACTCATGCCAGCCAAATTTCAAAGAAGCCAGGCCAGAAGCTCACGCCTGCTCCTTCCCGCTTTCGCTTGTCGCCATCGCCACCGGACCCCACGCGTCAGCCACACCCCCGCACAGTGTCGTCTTCTTCCCCACGCCGCACCGCCCCCGACCGAGACCTCCCAAAGTGACAAAGCGTGGGCGGGGTCACGCTGAATCACCTGCCTGTCCCCTTGGCGCCAAGCGCCACGCAACCTCCGCGCCAACCACTGCGCCCATGATACTGCTTCGATGCCAACGGCGACGCCGACCGTCCGCCCGCCTGTCCGCCATAGATGGAGCTCGGACCCGGGACTATAAAGCAACGCCAGAGCCCTAGGGGATTAAATACCACCGCCGCCAGGCTTGGTGGCCCAGCACCGCACCGAGAGAAGAGGGCTGAGAAGGAGTTCGGAAGAGGGGGAGGCGAGCAGAGAGAGCTCAGAGGCGCCGATCACCGAAGCCGGAGCGCCGGCCTAAGCGCCTACCCCGACAACGCGCCTCTTCACCGCACCACCACCGAACACCGCCAGCACCGCTCGGTGAGTCTTTTGGCTGAGACCTCCTCCTAGCCCTTGGACGCCGTAGCAGAGCACGCGCACGCCGCGCTCACGACGCCGCCGTCATGGCGCGGCCACCACTCGCGCACCCGGCCGCCTCGCCGGACTAGGAAATAGCCGTAGCACCACCGTGACGCCCGGAGGGTAGTCGCGTAGACCGAGACCCCGTTAGCCGGCCGTAGTGCCTTGGCCACGAGCACCAGACCACCGGCCGGAGCTCCGCCGTGCACCACCACCGCGCGCGGACTCCGCCGTGCCTTTTGGTCACCGTCGACACTTTACCCTGTCGCCCGCTAGCCGTATGAAAGGGAACGGGCACCAGGACCCCTAGAATAGCCCCTAGCTGCCCCGTCGGCGAGCACCACCATGACCAAGCCACCGACCACCATGGCCAACGCCCTGGGAAGCCCTGGCCACCACCTAGACCCCACCACCGTGTTCACCGAGGCCTGGCAAAGCTTCTCCCCACCTCAATTGGACGCCAACGCCGCTGTGGAAGCTCGCCGGTGAGCACACCACCGACGGGAACACGCCGGGGAGGGAAGCAGAGGAATCCTTCCTCACCGGCCAGACGCTACACCACCGGTGCACATGGACCCGAGCCGAGGGAAGAAGGGTGGACTTCGGTCCACCGAAGACCAGCCAACGGTCCATGGATCGTGAACATGAGTCCACCGTGAACCACGCAGTGTGGGCTGAGCTGTGAACAAAGCCCAGTGGGGGCCCATGGCTATGATGTGGCAGCGCCACAGCATGCCACGTGTTCAGGCCGGCCCGGCCCAAATCCAGCCCCGTCCAGGCCCACCAAAGCCCAGTCGAGACCCAACATGGTTGACCGTTGACCGGTCAACGTTGACTATTGACCTGGCCCCACATGTCAGTGGCACAGAGACTCTGGACCCACACGTCAGTAGGTGACGTCATGCTGATGTCATGACGACGTCACGCGGGTCCCACCTGTCGGTAACAACACAGCTGAGGTGACGTCACGATGACATCACGGTGACGTCAGCTGCCCTGGCCCCACATGTCAGTGATTGTGATCCGTTGACCATTGACTCGCCCGTTGACTTGATGTTGACTTTGACCGGACCCACAAGTCAGTGACCCAAGAGCCTCTGGCCCCACTTGTCGGAAACGATGACGTTGATGACGTCATGCTGATGTCAAGATGACGTTAGCAGGACCCCACCTGTTAGTACCAGAACCGAGACGATGACGTCATGCTGATGTCAGCATGCCACGTGGATCAGTCACAGTGTGATACGTGTCAGCCCAGGATTAATTTAGCCTTTTCCATTTTTAGTGATGATTTAAACTTCAGAAATTCATAACTAATTCATACGACCTCAGAAAAATACGAAACTAGGACCAAAATTCATCTAAAATCAAGCTTTACGCAATGAACCCACGTTTGAGTGCATTTGGCTCTTTTGAATTTTCATTGTTTCTTTGTGCTATTCTATAGACGTCGCTAACGCGACTATAATACGATCGTTTGTAGACTCGGAGGAGAACCAGACGGACAAGGATCGTGAGTACCGTGAGGAGTACGGAGACGACTACATTGAAGGTGCCACATCCCACCCAACCTCGTAGCACCTATTACGCATGGCTAATATGGAACTGCTATTGCTTTACTTTACTGTTATAATCATACTATGATAGGACTTGCATGGTAGTATGCTTACTTGATGGCCTCTACCTTGACGCAACCTTACCCCTGCATACCCTGCTATTAGGCTAGACACACGCTTACTGCTATATTTCATTGCTTGTACTTCTACTACGCTTATACAACATTAATGCGTGGTGTTATCTGGACTATGGGGAGAGTGCTGCGTGTGTGACTTAGGTGCGTGGAGGGTGAGGGTTGTGTCGACCAAGTTGGAGTATACGACGAGCCTGGGGCAAGTCTTGCCGTGGGGTGCTACCTGGGCACCCCTAGAATGGATACTTGTGGTGGGTAAATGGTATATGAGGTGGCCCTGGGTGTGAACCTGTGCTGGGAGGAGCCTAGGGTGGAGGTGCTATGATGGCACGGTAAATGGAAACCCTAATGAAGACATTCTGGCTTGGTCATCCCTAAGGACTTACTAGTACTCAGATTCACCGGGAAGCCTTACGTACCACTCGCCCTATATGGTGCGGGACGGCCGGACTACTGGGTAGGATATTGCCACTACTGCTAGGTTGATAGCGGACAGTGTAAGGAGGTACGGGGCGTGGAGGATTTCCCCCACACCCTTCCGAGAGTTCATGGAGACCTTGTGGACCTAGTTCATGACTCACAGTTTCAGCCACCCCAGACTAGACTTGGGGTGTACCAGGGCTGAATGGTAGAGTGGCATTATCCTAGGCTAGCAAGCGGCCGGAATCAGCCCAGTTGACGACGGTCAGCGAGGAAGGCGGATCTTGTGGTTATGTAAAACCTCTGCAGAGTGTATGGTTGATCGATCGATACATATGCCGACTTGTCGGCTATGGACCTTTCCTGGGTTTCGCTTAAACTAGATAGTGAGATGAGTCCTTCTCTTCTCCCCCTGGAGTGAGTGTTCG